GATTTTGTTCAGATTTAGCACAATGTGTTGTACATATGCAGGTGCATTTCGGTCATGATCTGCTTTGAATGTATATGTCACTCAAATATGAACGGAACGGGGACGTGTCATTGACAATGACTTGTTTTCCTATATTTTACATTCAACTCACCAAAAATTAGTGAAAATAAATTCCATACAAAATACCTAAAAAATCATTTCAGCGAAAATACATTCTAGCTATAAAATAAAGTATTTCATAGTACATGTTTAGAAGAAGTCTGTGGAAAAAAGCCATATTTTGAACTGTTATATGAATCTATATTGTTAAAGCTGTGTTCGTGGTACCCTGTAGTCATACCGGTAATTCTTGTAATACATTAGTTTTAGATTTAATACCTTACAACATCCTGAGTTTTGCTATGTTAACCAGTGATGAATGACTAAAAATCACCATTTTCATTGGTGTTTGTCTGTTTTCTTGTATGAAAAGTTAGATATGTCTGTCACAAGTGTATTATTGTATTCAATCTACACCGACCAGGTGCTCGTATGGCGATAACTTATTTGGGTTGTTGTCTGCAGGTTGTTGTTGTTGTGCCGGACTAATGATCAGTGGGTTTTAAATTCAACCTTGAATTTGTAACTTAATTACCATTGATTGTGATACAGACTGATTCATGGTCCGATCAAAGACAGTGACCGAGTTCCAGCTAAATTTTTGATTCACTGTATGAAAGCGTCTTACTACTTACTATTGATGCAACACGCCATTATTCCATGCACCTGCTTGCATTCATATCTTACATGTCGGTGGAGGCAATATTGATATTCAGCATCAGGAACTGTAGTCTGGCAGAAACGTTTACAAAATTGTATTGTTTCATATTGTACATAAAAAGAGCCATTTTTTACAGTAATTTTTAAATTATATTCAAGACTGTCACTACAGCAAGGTCGCTTATCCATAATTAAAAAAAAAATGTGAAAACTCTAAACAAAAATTGTACATAGCTTACACTCGAAACCTCTCTCTAGAATACCCAAGAATTGAAGTATAATTTAAATATATTCACTATGCTTGATAAAAGGAGCCATCTGATTGGCGGAACATTTCTCTATTTCAACTGTAGTGGTGCAATTAGCATACACCAGTTTCTTTCAAGATACTTTAAAGTAGTAAGCTTTTGTATCATGATTATAACTTATTTTTAGGAAAATTTTTCTAGAATTGTATGTGCAAACAAATCTGGTATGAATTTGTCAATGTATGGAAGATAAGACTGCACACTTAACAAATTATTAGAATGTAAGGTTTGTTGATAAGATTTAATTCATTATTCATATTAAAACAAAGAAATATACTGTAAACGGTATTTTTAAGAGATAAATGAATGCATAACCATGGC